ATTTAAGTGTTTGAAAAAAGGAGACAACATATGAGAGGTTGGATCGGTATTGAATGCTGTAGTGAGCTCTCTTTCTGTGGAATTTAACAGGTTTTTTCCCCTTTAAGCTTGAGTCTTTTGAAGTTGGGGTACTCATCTGGATGCTAGTTGCTTCATCACCTTGGACTTTTGTGTTTTGGCGAGGAGTTTGTGGTGTTTTGCTGCTGATTTTTGATCTTAGATCATAAGAAGACTGAGAGAGTTGTTCTTTCTTGCTTGGTGTTTCCAGTGTTTAGCTGTTGGTTTTTTTATCTTAGATCATAAGAAGACTGAGAGAGTTGTTCTTTCTTGCTTGGTGTTTCTAATGTTTTGTTGCTGGTTTTTTATTTTAGCTCATAAGAAGACTAAGAGAGTTTCTGTTTCTTGCTTGGTGTTTCCGATATTTCGTTGCTTTTAAGTTTTGCCATTTCTAGACAATGATTGAAACATAAAGATGTCAACATTAAATCCCAGAAAAAATTGAACATGCAAGAGAAAATTGGACATGTCAGAGAAAATTACAGATAAGAGAAAATTGGAGATGTTAGAGAAAATTACAGATAAGGAAAAATTACAGAAAATTGGATATGCCAGAGAAAATTGGACATTAAAAATTAAATGTCAAAGAAAATCAATAAAGCAGCATAAACATGAGAGAGAAATTTTCAATAATTGTTAAAATTACATATAGAAGTAAACATACTAGAGAAAATGAATGACAGAGAAAAGTAAACATGACAAGCCAAAGAAAATTTACATTCCACAATTAGCAAGATAAAATAAACAAGGTAATGTAAGCATGTCACTAAAAATTACACCACATTGAAACCAAGAATTGAACAAAATAAACATACCATAGAAAAATACATATTCCGGAGAAAATTATACATTCTTGAGAAAATTTTCATTCCAAAGAAAATTTCAATTCATAATATTAAAATGGCAGAGAAATTTACATACACAACCAGAGAAAATTAACCATGATAGAGACACACAAGAGAGGAAAGTGATGTGATGTGGTCAGAGAAAATTATAAATACTAGAGAAACTTAGACAGAGGCAAGAGAGTAATAGACATTCCAGAGAAAAATACATATTCCGGAGAAATTTACAAAGCAGAGAAATTCATAGACAAAATCACAGAAATATGTTCAAGAATAAGATCAAAACAAAGAGAAATAACTTTTTTTTTTCAAAATACACATGTTAGAGAAAATTCAAAGAAGAAACATTCATTCCAATCCATAATATTAAAATGCCAGATAAAATTAAACATGATAGAGATACACAAGGGAGGAAAGTGATGTGATGTGGTCAGAGAAAATTATAAATACTAGAGAAACTTAGACAGAGACAAGAGAGTAATAGACATTTCAGAGAAAGATAGACATTCCAATTAAAAATACATATTACAGAGAAATTTACATTCCAATTAAAAATACATATTACAGAGAAATTTACAGAGTAGGGAAATTTATAGACAAAATCACAGAAACACGTTCAAGAATAAGATGAAAACACAGAAAATTATTCTTTTCAAAATAAACATGCTAGAGAAAATTGAAAGAAGAAACATACATCAAGCAAAAATCAAAGAAATTCAAATGCCAGAGAAATTTACAGATAAAATCACACAAACATGTTCAAGAATAAGTTCAAAACACACAAAAAAAACTTTTTTCAAATTCAGGTAGCTTTTTATTACGAAATTGAAACCCTAATTTATGGAAGGTTAATATAAAATGCAAATAATTGTGTTTCCAGAGAAAATCTAGTTGTATTGTAGAAAAACTTACCAGAGTTAGGATGAAACTTGAATGACGAGCTGATATGACCTAAGATGAAGATGCGACGTGACGAAGATGAATTGAAATGACGATGAACTGTAAAAACGGGGTCAAAGAAATTTGTGATGAAGGAATGAGAATGATTTTTGTAGAAGATAACGAAGCTCTAATGTCTATGGTGAAGATGATATTGAAACCCTAATTCTGCTATTCTTTTGTTCGTGAAGATGCTGGATGCTCGGAATGGAACTCAAACGTCGGAATGAGTTTCGTTTCTATGTTGATTTTGGGAAGGGTATTTTGGTCCACAAAATAATTAAAAACGCGTGCCATGTTGTTGAGGGACCTGATGCATCACTATTTTTTTTGGTGTCCTTTATCCTCTAAATTATTATTATTAGGGATCTTAAAAAAAATTTCCCTATAATAGGGGTAATTTCATTTCAATGTAAGTTTGCAAAAATATTTTTAAATTAGTGATAAATTTTATAAATATTAAAAAATAAAATCATAAAGTTTTCTTTGAATTTGCAATTAAAGTTCCATTGATACAGTGAATAGGAATTTTCCCTTTATAATATGAAAGGTGCAAAATTTAAAAGGGAAATACCTTTTTTTTTTTTTTGAACGGGAGAAAAATCCATTAATGATAAGTCAAAATGGCACTTACAAAAGAATCCATGCTTACACAAATAGAACTTACCCTAATCAAAGGAAAAATTAGCAAAGAGACACATAAGCAAAGCTAAAATAGTATCAAAAATATGATCATAAACGATCCTAACCTGTACTGCAAAGCATAAGCGATCATAAGAGATCAACACTAGAGCTAGTCGAAGATACCACAAAAGCTTCACTCCAGAGAGGGTAAGCTACCAAAATCACATCCATGGAGCCCAAACAAATTGAAAAAAAAGAAAAAAAAGAAAAAACCAAAACAAAGATCTGGGAAAGAAAGATCAGATTTGGTGGAAGGATGGCCACGACGTGGTGGTGGTGGTGTCAATAGCGAGAAGAGGCGATGGGCGGCAGATCCGTTGGTGTTGTAGTTGTGGTGGCACGAAACGGTGAAAGGCAGCGGAGAAGTGGCAAATCTATCTCCGGTTGGGAGGTGGAAGAGGAAAAAATGTAAAAAAATCTCTTTGTAACTCTCATTTCTTCGACAATCATACCCTTCTCACTTTCTATAAAGTTACCACCGCAAGCCACCACCATGACCTAGCCCCACTTCTTCTTCTTCTTCCCTAAACCATAGGTTTGAAAACCTAAATTTATTTTATTTCTATCTCTTTCTCTATCAAATATTGCGATGGAAAAAGGGGCTCGCGATAGGAAAAAGAGACTAGAGAAAAAAGGGTTTGTGACAAAAATAAAGGGTTCACAATGAAAAAGGGTGATTGAGTTGGGGGCTTCGCTACAAGAGAGAGAGGGGTCGGGATGGGAGAAGGTGTAGATGGGCTACTTAGCAGGGAATGTGAAAATAGGCTAAGGGATGACAATTAAGAGTAGAATAGGTGGGTTAGAGGTGGCAGTAGTGGTTAGGTGGAGATGTTTGCAAGTAAGATGACAATTTTAACTTACACTAGATCACAAATTGAGTGTTCAAAGAAATAGAATGTCCAATCAAAATTTTGAGATACATTTAGGTCTCATTTGGAAAGTAAGCTATTTTAGTCGGTTATTTAGCTTTTTTGTTATTTTAACCTGGCTAAAATAATTGTGTTTAGGAAGATAGTTAGGTTTTTTTATAGTTGATTTGATGGTTGTGAGAAAAAAAGTAAAATGATTATGTTTTAATGTGACATTTTGTTTTATTAACTATTTTAACTTATTTTATCTTTTAGTACACTATTTTAGCCCAAACATCTTTCCAAACACCCCCCTTAGAAGCACAAAAGATTGGAAGATACAAAAATAGAGTAATGCTAATGGCATACACCTTTCTTCATATTTTTTTTTAATTACAATTTTACTAAAATGTCAACCATGTCCTAATTCCTAATCTTTCAAACCTTAACCCTAATCCTAATTCTACATTAGTGCCAACTGCCACTCTATATCCCTTTTACTACCGTCTGCCCTTCTTTGCCATGCCACAACCCTTCCCATGTCCCTTTCCAACATTTCCCTACCAACCTCATCCCTTCACTCCCTTCTCTCACTCCCTCCACTCCCTTCTCACTCTTCCCAGTAACCCTTTTGTAAAGAAAGGAAAGACCTTTTGTAAAGAAAGGAAAGAAAGAAATCATGAGAAAGAGATTAAGAAGGAAAAAAAAAAAGATTGTGTGAAAAAGAGATCACGTGAGAGACACTTCACAGGTCGAGAAAGACAAAAGGAAGATGGAAAAAAAGATAAGAACGAGAGGAAAAAGAGAAAGAAATAGGGCAATGAATAAGTGAAATGGAAGGCGGAAAGGTGGGTGGAAAGAGATTGAGGTTAGGGATGAAAATAAAATTAGGATTAAAGTGATTGAAAAAAAAATTGTAAATTTCTTTTTTTTTTTTGGTTTCCCAAGATATCCCCAACCTTTTGCCCAGGACTAATCCTTCGAGGTACGGTCAAGCGCGAAGGCGGGGATCTCTCCCAAGAAGGTTTGATGCATCCACAGGAGCTCAAACCCAAGGCCACTTAAATATTGAGATAGAAATACCCAAATATTTTTTTATTAGCAACACTTAATAAAATAATTTTTTTAAAAAAAACAACAAATAAATTTTTTCCTTAATCCTCTTTCTTCTCTTTACCCTACAACTCTGCCCTGGCTACTTGTTGACGACCATTGTGTCACCCTCCCTCGACATTCCCAGCCCCTTCACCATCCTCTTCCACCACAGCCACCACCATCACCACCCCTAAAATTTGACCACCCTGAGAGGATGAGACCTGTATATAGCAAATCTATTTTGCATTTATGAGAACAATAAAAATATTCTTAAATAACATTTACACAGTTGGAACAACATTGTGATTGCACTATTAATTGTTAAAATACAACAGTAGCTAACCATTTAGTTATTGAACAGTTGAAGATGCTCTTGGCATACATTATAGCACCAGCTAATAGTTGTAATGTTCAAACAAGATGTTACTGCCAAACCATATATACGCCAACCAATACGCAGCAATAACAGGAAACTAACAAGATCACCAACAAATATGGATAGTAAAGAAGCAACAACGAAAATTTTCAAGCATTTCTCAGTTTTACACAAGTGCGATGAGTTCTAAGAACGTTTTAAAACCCAAATGTATTTTACAAAACATAACTTGTACATTCTCACTTTCTCTAACCCCCCACCTTCTCATGGGTTGCAGTTTGAAATAATCTTTTTCCCTCGCTAATCATTATTCAAAATAAAAGCAAACGCGATGAGTTCTAAGAACATTTTAAAAACCCAAATGTATTTTACAAAACATAACTTGTACATTCTCACTTTCTCTAACCCCCCACCTTCTCATGGGTTGCAGTTTGAAATAATCTTTTTTCCTCGCTAATCATTATGCAAAATAAAAGCAAACACGACACGAACAAAAATAGTAGGCCTCCTTGGCATTTACAGCTAATAACGGGGAAAAAATTAAAAATAGAAAGTACCAAGTCTAGTAGGGACCAGCAAAGGCACACACGGAACACTGGCTTAGTAGGTATAGCCCTGAACAAACATTCCCTTCTTAGCTTCGTCGCTCTCGTCATTTGCAGAGTAACTTCCAAGCTGAGCTAGGGAGTTTGCTTTTGCACGCGCCAAAAGTGCCTTTTGTGCAGCTTCAACATTCTCGGGACTTCCTTGCCAGGTCTTCAGCACAGAGTTCTGCAAAGCACGTGCATAAGAGAAGGAAACGTGCCAGGGGTTGGCACTTTGGTTCATTGCATTTAGGTTCAATGTTGCTTCCATTTCAGATTGTCCTCCCGACAAGAACTACAAATTAAACAAACAAGAACATTGTACTTAGAACACAATAGTAAAGTGAAGATCGTATTTGATCTCAGGTGAAAGAATAAGTTTACCAATCTATAAATGGAATCATCTATTGCCTAGATATAAGATCCAAAGGGACAACTTTAATTACTATTTTTGTTCCAAACGAAACCACTTTGAATTTACATGATCTTAGCTACACTTCAGGCTAAAATTGTTTCAAGTCAAGCTTGTTTTGTTCGTAAAATCATATTGGTTAAGCAGAACAAATTGGAAAGATAATTTAGTCAATTGGGTTAATGTCATTTTATCTCACTAAACTATCGTCACTTTATCTCCTGCATCCTCAAACTATCAATTTCATTTATTTAATCCCTAAATTTTTTAATTTCAGTTAATACGGTTCAATTCGAGACAACTAGTCTATAAACCAGTAATGATGAATGGGCAAAAAGTATTTTTACAGTTTAGACAACATAACTCATATAACCAAACACCAATCTTATTACTCGCATTGTATTAGGCAACTCACACCCTACAACCAGACATCCATCTTATTCTACGGCTCTCATTTCAAAATAATAAATAAAAATAATAATAAGTATCTGGTTATATGATTTAAGTTGTTTGAATTTTAAAATAACTTTTTTGCCCATCAAATTAGGACTAATGGTTACTGATATGGACGACTGTCTCCAATTGGACTAAATAAGCTGCAATTAAAAACTTTACTATAGGGGCTAAATAGATGAAATTAATAGTTTAAAAAATATAGAAGAAAAAAATGACAGATAGTTTAGGGGATAAAAGTGAAATTAACCCTATTTGGTAATATTATTGAGAATAACAACTCACTAATATTTAAACTACACTGTAAGCATGTATATTTATCAGGAACAGGTTTAAACATGTGTACCATGATTCCTGGAACTGCAGGAGGCACTCTCCTCTTAAGCATAGTGAGCGTGTATTTGGCAATGGTATCCGGAGAAGCTTTCTCTTTGTGCTCAGCCCCTGGGGTTACCATGCTGGGCTTAAGTAGGATACCTTCAAACATAACATTGTTCTCTGCCAAGTAGTAGAAGACTTCTGCCCAAACACGCTCAGCCACCTCAAGTGTCCTCTCAATAGGGTGATCCCCATCAAGAAGAATCTCAGGTTCCACAATTGGCATGAGACCATTGTCCTGCACAAGAAATCACAACAATGAAGAAAAGATTGTAGAGATTAATGCACCATATATATAATAAAAAATAAATAAATAACAATAAAGGCTCACTTGGTAGCGTTACACGTTTCCTGTCTTTTGTTTTAGAGAACATAAAACATATTTTCCCTCTTTCTTTTTTTTTTCTTCTTCCCCCCAAAGAGGATTGGTAGTGAAATTGAGTTCATCTGTGTTTTTTTGGGGTACACGTGTTTTTCATGTTTTGGTAACAAGTGAAACACCTTTTTTGTGTTTTATTGCGGAGCCTCATTTTGAAAACAATTTAAAAAAAATCAAAATAAAAAACAAGTGTAAACATGTTTATGTTTTCTGTTATCAAAATTTTGGAAAACAAAAAACACAAAAACACGCAATAAAGCATGAATCAAAAGAGTGGAAAAAATTGTATTGCACAAACAATTGTCTCTGTGCTCTACTTCAGTTCTAATCCGTATATGATTCTAAATGGCACAAATACATGGCAATATTCTTGCAGAACTTCTATGAACCTATTAAAGCTGAGATACTGAAAAAGTAGAGGGAAAAAAGGAGAAAAAAAAGTAAGAAGAATTATACTAGAAAAAAACTTAAGCACAACATGGTGAATTTCTGACCAAAATATATGATTTGACATTACCCATCAACGACCTCAAAATTTACAAATTTTATCACGCTTTTGTAAACTCAGAGCCATATTATAACTTACTAAAAGTTTTTGACAAGAAAAAAAAAGGCTCCATGACTATTGAAAGTGAAGTTCATATAGAATATGATGCCTGCCTTAGACCAATCAATTACTTTTACCATCATCTTGAATCCATTGACACCTCAAAATGATAAACAAACTGTCCAAAGGGTTACTAGTGAATCTAAGTTATAAATAATTAATTCTTAAATTTATTATTTAATAACTTTACCCTAATGCATTTATGCTGCGAAGCTAAATCAACAGTTTCCGTCCGCTGTTTACTTTAGACACAGAAAAACCCAATTAAAAACATTTAGAGAAAATGCTATTATCTATTATTACCCCACCAGACAAGGGCTAGCATCTTCAGAAAAAACAAAAATAAATAAATTAAACAAAATTTAAAAAGTACCTGAGAAATGCCAGCATAGCGTGCAAGTCCCCATGCAGCTTCTTTCACAGCCAAAGCAGAAGGACCACAAGGAATGCTGACAACTGTGCGCCTACAAATTTCATACAGATGCAAACAAAGTACAAGATGTGATATTTCCTTTTCCATGCCAGCTTTCAGCCAGAAAGTTTCACATAAGCATCAGAAGAAGCCAGTTTACAAAAATGTAAAATAGCTTACCACTTTGCGAAGCGAGCGCCTTGTTTGTAATACTCAGCAGATCTAGAAGCCAATCCATCTAATCCCTGGCACCAAGATTCATTGTTGGATCCTGGTAGAGGAACCAAACCCTAGAAACATGTGTGGAAAAAAAAAAGGAGAGAGTTAAATTAATAACAAGACAAGGATATGCAAAAGAAAAAGGGTTAGCAACAAGACATAATATTGCAAAATGATTACACATAATTGAAAGTATACCTTATCAACTTTGATACCAGGTACGATATTCTCATCACGCAGGCAATCCACAAACTTCTTCCCATCTGTTGTTGACTGGTAAAGTGTCTCCTCAAAGAGAATAGCACCAGAAATATATTCACCCAGGCCAGGAGTGGTCAGCAAAAGCTGTCTGTAAGCCTGTCGGTTGACTTCCGTATTGTCCAGTCCAATGGATGCTAACCTCTTCCCACAGGTGGCATTTGATTCATCAATGGCAAGGATGCCATGACCAGGAGATGCGATAGATTTCTAAACCATCAACAAAGAAACCAATGGCAAATAAGCACCATATTTGCAAATTCATACTCACGAATACACAAATTGTGTCACAGTTAAATAGGCTAGCAAGCATCCAAAGAAAGTGGAAATACCATAATCTAAAACAATATTCTCGATCGCAAACCATATAACGCTATAGATATATTTTATTTATTTATTAATATAAGATATAATATTATCAATTAAAATGTTATTAATATTATTTTTATAGTTATAGTGGTATAAACTAAAAATGTGAAATATTTTATAGTTATAATGATATAAAATAAAAAATCTTGCATTTTTACAGTCAAGACTAACATGCAAATGGAGTTAATAGATGAGATGAAATTACTACCCTTTGATATTATGTGCATAATTACATATATTAATAATTCAAATATATTTTTACAGTTGACCGAAAATAATGACTTTCTTATCCGACATAACTTAAAAAAATTACACTCACAATCTCTGTGCACCTTCTTTTCTTCCAATCTCTCACTTGCTTTTCTCCTACTCTCATCTTTCTCACCCCACAGCCATCACTGCCACCTCCCTCTCTCCATTCTCCCTTTCTTTCATCTCCCTCTATACCCTAATTTTGACCAACACCACACAATGCCCACCACAACCACTCAAATCCCACTTCCAATCCCAACCCACCCATTAATTCCAACTACTAGCACCACCAATACCCACCACTAGAACCATTCGCATACCAACCCATGTTTGTTTCCCAAGATCAGCAGGTTCATTTGTTGGTAATTTGGTAAGAACCTTAAAAATTGGACAAGGAAAGGCTTCTTCGCACCTCTACCCATTATCTTCCACCTCTGGTGACACCACCTTCCAATCATTGCCTCCATCAACCATGACCAACACCAACCTTGCATTCAATCACGACTACCTCTCTCTCTCTCTCTCTCTCTCTCTCACACACACACACACACACACACATGTGCGCACACACCACAACCACCAACCCCCCCTCTCCCCATCATGGTCTCCATCTCTCTATGGGCCAAGAAAACCAAATCACCCACCAATGGTCTACTGATTTTCATGCCAGAGTTCTTTGCTCTATTCTATAGTTTCAATTCCCTCTCTCAGCATTTGCTCCATTGTATAACTACTCTGGTAACCACATGTCAGTTGCTTCGATTCTTCCTTCCCACTTCACTCTTGTATAATCGCGTGTATATCTACATATAGGCTCTATTTGGTGTAGTTTTTGGAACTATTTATAGCTTTTTTATTTTGAGTGTTTGTCTCAAATTGTTTATTGCAACTTTTGCTTATAGCTATGAGTAAAAAATAGCTTAGATAAGATAAAAAAAAATTAATTTTCTGGAAGCTGGGGAAGGGAGCTTTTAGCTTGTGTTTTCTTATTGTCAACTTTTAGCTTCAAAAAAGCTACCCCAGACACTTCAACATTTACATAGAAATGAAATTACAACACAATTAAACTCAAATGCAAATACGGGCTTAAAATTACGACATAAAATCCCACACTTCAACTAAATATTATGACATAATTAATAGGGCAAATTACACAAATAGTCCCTATAGTTTGGGACTCGTGTCACTTTGGTCCCGGACTTTTCAATTGTGACACATTTGACCCTGAATTTTGAATTTTGTTCCAAATAAGGACAATTGAAGATACCATTGTTTAATTTCAAGGGCAAAATCGCCAATTTAATAAAATATAAACTAATTTGACAAAAATAAATATCAAAAAAATATTTTTAATTTTTTAAAAATTATTTTTATCCACCAATGATAAAATTATGTAAAATTGATAAAAATTACATGATTAATTTTTTAAAATTAATTTTACATGATCATATCATCCAAACACATAATATAAATTAATTTGGTAAAAAAAATAATTAAATGTCTAAAAGATTTCTTAATTTTACATAATTTTATTTTTAGTAGGTAGAAATAATTTTTAAAAATACAAAAATATTTGTTTGACATTTATTTTTGTCAAATTAGTTTATTTATTTTTATCAAATTGACGATTTTACCCTTGAAAAATCTAATGATATTTTCAATTGTCCTTATTTGGAACAAAATTCAAAATTTAGAGTCAAATGTGTCACAATTGAAAAGTCAAGAATCAAAGTGACACAAACCTTAAACTATAGGGATTATTAGTGTAATTCACCCTAATTAATACATATAATTGAATCAATTCCATACCAACTCCAAATTATAGAGATGTTGTGAAAGTCTTTTCTTTCTTAAGAGAAGTATGGCACACACTCCACAAATGCAATATTTGCCTCTCAATTAAATTTTTAATTTTTAATCTTCTGGGAAATTAAAAACATGACAGGAGGAACTATGTGTATCAAAGAAACAATACAGTTAGTTGCAAAGAAAGAGGTGTGCGAGAACGTATCATCATCTTCGTAACCAGCATGACAGAGAGAGCATACAATCATGGAATTTTGAAACTGAAAATTGAACCAGTTCTTTGATTCAAGAAATGTTAGTTAACTTGGTTTACACATTAGCACTTGCAGCTAATTAAAACAAAATTAATTTAAACTGCATAAAAATTACTTTTCTAAGGAAATTTTGAAATAGAAAAAGGCCTAACCCAGCTTCACTTTGGGTTCGCAACAGAAGGGTATAGATGAAGAAAAGTCTTTGCCAAATATTCACCATAAGTTTCTGTAGGAAGCCGAGATCACTACCTTCCAAAAAATTATAATGATAGGGGAAATGCCTATGCTTTATTCTACTTTCCCAGTTACAAAAAAACGTTATATGGAAACAACTCTTTGGGTTTGCAGGCTCATTTAAAGCTATGTCACACTTTTTCATGCCCCAATTGCCCCTATGCAGCTTCCCTGTTTTTTTTCTAGGGTAAATTACACCTCCCTTGAAATTTTTAAAAAAAAAATATATATATATATATAGTAAGCCCCCACAATTTTGGCATAATTACACTTATCTTTCTTTTTAGTAAGGTAAAATGGACCGAAACCAATGCAAATTGTGTCAAAATACAAAAATAGATACTGTAAAATATACATTTTCATATACCAAAGATGGCAACATCATTTTTAGCCGTATAACTATAAATTTATGGATGAAAAGGGGGGCTCTGCAAATTAAAACGTGAGAGTTCAATGTAATTATGTCAAAAACTGTAGAATTTAAATTATTTTCTCCAAATCTCAAGAGGTCAGTGTAATTTATCTTTTGTTTTATTTCAAATTCTCATTTCTTCAGTTTTTTTCTTCCATCTACATTTAGTTTTTTTTTTTTTTTCCCTTTTTTTTAATTTGACACAACTGGGGGAAAAAAAAAAACTAATTACGACAATAAATAAATAAATAAATAAAAAGAAAGATTAAACAGTTTCATTTCACAACTTCCAATAATTAAATCAAACCATTAAAAAACAAAAACAACGGTCCACTCATACAAACACAAATTACAATAAAATAGTTGAAAAATCAAAATTCTAGTACTACAGCACAGCGATGCGCAGATAAAATATAGTAGATAGATAGACAGATGTATATGTATGTTTGTATGCAGGTATAGAGGGCTCACGGCGGTTTTGACAAGTTCGTCGGAGTAAGATCCGGCGCGGATGACGGAGACACGGCGAGTGGCGAATCGGCAGGAGGAGGACGATCCAGGGCGTTGATTGAAGGATTGTTGACCGATCCACTGTGAGGACGATGCGTTTAACTTCACTAAACTCGAACACGCCATGTCTACCAATATACTACCTACGACAATGGCAACTGATCGATCGGGAGCTCTCTCTCTCTCTTTCTCTCTCTCTCTCCCTCTTCTGTTGTGTGTGACTTTTTTTTGCTCGCTCTCTCTCTCTCTCCAATGGTGTTGTGTCACAAGGAAGGAGATCAATATATTTGTAGAGGCAGGCCAAACAAAACAGGTTTTTGTTTTTGGGCGCTTTCTCGTAGGGTCCGCACTATAACAAATTAATAAGCATACGACATCCAACACGCGGAACAACCGAATAGTATGAGTAAATTACATTTTGTAATGCTAGAGGGTCACAATTTTTGTGGTTATAATGGTTTAAAATTGTCAAAATAGCATCGTTTTGACATGTTTTGCACCTAAAATGATATCGTTTTGACAATTTTGAACTATTGTGGCCACAAAAATTGTGGCCCTCAGACATTTTCCTTTATACTATTGTGTTTTGCATTAAATCTTATTTTGTCAATTTTTATATTTTTAACCAAATATTACTTTAATTTTTACACATAAAATTATAACAGTCAATCCTCATACTTTTAATTAAATTTCATTTTGGTTCCCTTTTCTATTACTCAATTATTTAAATATTTAATAGAATCTAGTCATGTGATAATAATATGACTACGATATGAGCGTAAAAAGGAAAAATCATTTATATTTTTCATCAATACACACTTTATTTCAAAATTTGCATCAAAATATGACTGTATTAGACTAAAATAAAATGCAGATTGTGAACAATTAAGAAGATGAATTAAGATTTTGCATAAATTTGAATCATGAAATTTTATTTATTACGATAATACAGTCTTCTGTCTATTCAAAAGCTCTACTTTCTTACTTTTCGTCTTAATTTTTACCATATGTAGTATTATATAATTCTCACGTGCTTATCAAGTAGTATAAAGGCTTCCTTTTGGAACACACCAAAAAAGCCAACTTTTTGACTTTTTAGCTTTTTTAACCAAAAAAGTCAATTTTTTTATCCAAAAGGACCCTACCAAAAAAGTCAAAAATTCAGCTTTTTACCAACTTCCCAAAACACTCCAAAGTGTATTGGTGGGAAACGTAGATGATTTTTCTCTCTCACCCTCATTTCGTAGTCACATTTTTGTTACATTACAGGATTTTGTTAAAGATTTAAAAATGAAATAACAGAAGAGGGATATTGACATTGACACTTGTATAGGAACCAAAGTGGAATTTGAGAAAAAGTGTATAAAGTTGACTGTCACGATTTCATGTATAAGGACCAAAGCATGATTTGACCAGAAATATAGGGAGTTGATTGTCATAATTTCATGTATAGAGGTCAAAGTGAGATTTAGTACAAAGTGTACGAGTGCAAAATGTAATTTATTCAAATTTTTTTGGACATTTATTCATGAAAAAATTTATTTACCCAACAAAAAGAGTTCATTGCACCCAAATTTAAAAAAATATATATATTATTACACTTTTTCCCTTTTTAAAATTACTAAAAAATCCTTCAAAATCTTAACCCTAATGTCTCAGCATACCCACATTTTCCCACCGTCTCTACCAGCCACCATCATTGCAACTGTCTTTAGTGACCCACATTTCCATCCCCGACGAGCCCTTCTGTCATTTCCATCACCTCCGACGCCAAACCTTACTGGCAATTCAACCCATTCTCCCTCAACATTGCCTCTTGTTGACCCCTCTCATTCTCTATCGCCTCCTGCAGCCACCCCCTGCCTATCTTGACCCACCTTTCCTTACTCCTCTTCTGTCCCGCTTCTCAGCCTCGCACCCCTTTAACATCACGAATACAGTGTTGGACAATCTTCACTCGACGAGCCCTTCTGTCATTTCCATCACCTCCGACGCCAAACCTTACTGGCAATTCAACCCATTCTCCCTCAACATTGCCTCTTGTTGACCCCTCTCATTCTCTATCGCCTCCTGCAGCCACCCCCTGCCTATCTTGACCCACCTTTCCTTACTCCTCTTTTGTCCCGCTTTTCAGCCTCGCACCCCTTTAACATCACGACTACAGTGTTGGACAATCTTCACTGTATTTAAATAGATTAAATTCTGTTGTGTACAAAACAACAACAAGAATATAAAGAAATAAAGAAAATGAGAGAATTTGTTTGATTACAAAAATCAAACTCGAAATAAAAACTAATAATAAATAAATAATAAAACCACAGATTTTATTTTGTTACAAAAACAAAAAATAAAATCTGATTAAATAAACAAATAAAAACAGAATAAAATTAAACAACTTACTTGGTTAATTTATCTGAATAACTTTTTCTGATCAAGTCTGTGTTTAACACTGTGTCCTTAAGACAGATTCGTCCTCTCCACGGTGCTTTCAGAATTTGGACGTCTATCTCCCAGGATAAAATGATCTTATCAAGAATAAAAGCAGCACTACAATTTAATCGTTCGTCGAACACACAAAGTGTTTACTCTTTTCTTTCAAAATAAAATGCAGCAGGATGAAGAATATAATTAGCGAGGTGAAATACGAAATTTCTGAATTAATAACATCAAACTAAGGGTGTCCTATTTATAGATGTAAAGGTGGCTCTTGGTTTTAAATTGAACAGGTATGATATCTGTTGGTTTTGAATTCAAACAGATTTGAATCTGTTTAACAATTCAAACAGATAGCAAAAAGGAAGGGCCTGTTTGGGTGGCATAATTCCAAACTAGTTTATTTCTTGTTTGAAAACGGGAAGGGCCTGTTGGATGTACAGAAAATCCAAATCAGTTTAATTGAATTCTGGATTTTATTTTAACAAAAAATAAAATTAAATTCAAATGTTTTTGGCCCAAAAAGATTAGAAGCCCGCACGCGCGTGTAGTGATTTTTGGGTCCAATGGGTCTGTCCATTTTGCCCATAACCTCTCCCTCTAAAACACTTGGGTACCCTTGGGGCACACCCCAAGTATCTCACCCAAGCCTTATAAACCCTTTCAAAACTTCCCACCAAATCAATGTGGGACAAGCCAATTGTACAACCTTAGGAATTTCCACCAAAACTCCATTTCCATGGAGCACACTTTGGCTTCAATTTCCCATTCACTCGGTAATGGTTTTGAGCAACCAAATATACCACGTGAATCACAACGCGGCATAAAACGCGTTACCATTTGACCCGAGTAAATCAACACTCGGGCCCACCTAAAAAATAGACCAAACTTGAGAAAAAATTCTGGTTTTACCCAGAATTTTTCTACCATTTCCAACAATCCCCACAATGAATGGAATTTATGACAACGGAAATGCAACAATATGCAGACTTTAACGAAAGAGTATAAGTTGAAAAATTCTTGCATCAGGATAGGTAGTTTTCGGCTTGAACCTTCCCTAGTGATAACCTATCGGACTTACTGGCTAACCAATGGACGGATGCCTTGAATTGTTCAGCCGTTTGTGTAAGCCAAGACAATAGATTTCACACAAAATATCTTCTAACCATCGTGGTTCTCACTGTTGTGTTCATTTTGGCCTTGACGCGCCTGTTTTTCATAAGTGTTTCTTAGAGAATTTAGCCTTTTCATTCTCATAGAAACGCCAGTTCAACACTCATATAGTGATTCTTATTGTGAGTATCTCCTTATACTCGTCTTGATTTTATACCAAATCAAGATATAAGTAATCATTAAAACAAAGCTTATCCTTATACCCCTGCATACAACATATGTTGCAGATATCACCTCACCATAGGAATGGTAGGGAATTTTTAATCCCTTGGTGATTTCTGGTGAGCCATACATACTTAGTTGTCCCTTTGAACTTAGTTCTTGGGATCTCCAGTCATTAATAGTAGGGTTACCATTATGACGACTCTTATGTAATAGGCTTTAATCCCATCCCCTTCGCTGAACTATACACTAGTTCTTTTGTCAAACCTTTTGTTAACGGAATCCGAAATATTCTCTTTAGATTTTATATAATCTATTGAGATTATTCCGTTTGACAACAATTGCCTTACGGTATTATGTCGACGAGAATATGTCGTGACTTACCATTATACATTGATTCTGTGCCCTGCCTATTGCAGATTGACTATCACAATGAATGCAAATAGCTGGCACAGGTTTGGCCACATTGGAATGTCTTCTAAAGAAGTGACGAAGCCATTCTGTCTTGCTTTGTCTAAAGCATGAACTCAGATTCCATTGTGGATCGTGCGTGCAAGTTGTTTCGTGGACTTCCAAGAAACAACAGCGCCTCCTAGAGTAAAGACATATCCACTAGTGGATTTTGAATCTTTAGTATCCGATATCCAATTGGCATCACAATAACCTTCAAGTACTGCTGGATATCGAGTAAAGTTCAAACCATGATCACGGGTAAATCTCTTAGATATCTAAGAACCCGAATGATCGCTTTCCAATGGTCTTCTCCAGGGTTTACTAGTGGTACCTACTCAATTTACTGATAGCATAAGCTATTATCAGGACGAGTACACATTCATTAGGTACATTAGGCTTCATGATTTGAGAGTATTTTACTGAGACACTGCATCACCTTTATTTTCGATAAACTAAAGGACTGATGTCTACAGGTGTTCTAGCTAAATTCAAATCATCCTTGATAAATTTATCAAGAATTTTTCAATATAATGAGATTGAGATAATGATATCCGTCAGATGTTTTAGTAATTTTCATTCCTAATATAATATCTGCGACCCCCATATTTTCATATCAAAATCTTTTGTTAAGCATCTGCTTAGTTGATTTGATCATGTTTTGACTGCTTCCAATGATAAGCATGTCATCCACATAAAGACAAACTATGACATATCCTTGGTCAGTGTTTTTTAACATAGACGCATTTGTCACATTCGTTTATCTTAAACCCATTAGTAAGCATTGCAACATCAAATTTTTCATGCCATTGCTTAGGTGCTTTGTTTTAATCCATAAAGGGATTTTACAACGTCGACAAACTTTCTTTTTCTTGCCCTGACTTAACAACCCTTCGGGTTGTTCCATATAGATCTCTTCATTTAGATCACCGTTTAAGAAAGCTGTCTTAACATC